TCTCTAGTTTATTTATATAATTTCTTATTTCTGATTTCTTTTTAATTTTTATTTCCGATTTCTATTTATTATTCTACTTAAAATTAAGAATATTTCCTCTTTTAGATATTTTTTCCGAATATAGAAATAAGCTTTTTTTCTAAAACTAATATTACCTTTATTCTAATCTTTACTATAACTAAAAATAATATATAAATTAATAATATAACTTTATTTCCGAATACTAAAGTCTATTTCTAACTAAAATCTAACTTATATTATTTTAATATAATTTTTCTTATTTTATTTCTTCTATTTCTTTTCCTTCTATAATTAGCCTTTATTTCTATTATTCCTATATACTATACTAGTAACTATATCTTATAGCTAACTTATATCTAAGTTATTAGATATATTAGAAATTAATACTTATATATTTTTAATATTTTAGCCTTAGGCTTAAGGTATTATAATAGCTCTTTTCTTTCTTAACTTACTAAGCTAATAATTCGCCTTATAAATATTTCTTAGAACTTTATAAAAGTATTACCTTAACTATAAAGTTTCTATTCTCCTTATATTACTTATTATAAAATATATAAAAGGGAAACTATAATAAGATAAAAACCTATATAAAATATAACTTAATAATAAATTAATAAATTAAAAGTATAAATAGTAAAGTATAAATAATATATAGTATATAAAAGCTTAATTAATTAAATATTTATAAGAAATTATTCTCTAAATCTATAGAAAAACCAGCTTTCTTATATAATTTCTATAAGTTATATATAAAAGGCCGCGGCCTTTATTATATAATCTAAACCTTAAAACTACTAAAATAATATAATTTTTAATAAGTATAGCCTATTATATTATAGTACTAGTTAAGCTTTTTACTAAACTCTTTTAGTATTAGGATCTTAATATTATTAGAATATATAAATATATATATCTATTATTTCTTAATATAGTTTATATATTATATAAAAATTATTTTATAAAATTTCATACTAAAAATAAGGCTATAAGAGCTAATATTCTTATATTTATAAAACCGGAATTTAAAAGAATATATTTTATTATAATTATCTATAATAAATATTTTAAAGTTATAGGTTTAATAAATCTTAAATCTGTTTTTATAAAAGATTATAAATTCTTAATTATATTTAGCTAAAATAATAAAGTTCCGGTTTTATATCTAATTATTATTAAAGAAGTTATAATTTAATCCGGTATTACTAAGTCTATTATATATTTTTAAAATACTTATTTAAATAGTTATATAAAATAATATATCTTTTTTATTATAGCTAAAATTATTAATATTTAAGATTTGGCCTTTTTTCTTCTATTTCTTAAAAGGGTTTTTTCTAAAGTATTTCTCTATAGTAATAATATTAATTTATTTTTATAGATATCTTAACTCTTTTATAGTTTTGGCCTTATTAGGGTTTTATTAAGCCTATTTAGAATATTTAGAATATTTTATACTTTCTAAAAAATATTCTTTCTAATTATAAATCTAATAAACTATACCTAAAATAGAACTAGTACTTTAATAGGGTCTAGAAAGAACTAAAGTATTATCTAAGGATTTCTTATATAATTTTCGGAACTTCTTTTTCCTTTTTTAATAGCCTTATAAATTAGAATTTACTAAATTAGAGTTCTTAGAAGCAGAGTTACTCTTATTAGACTATTATACTATGCCGCTTTACTAGTAAATTTTAGCGTCACGTGACTGCGATAACGCATGCGGCTGGCTAGTATTTAGAATACCAAAAGCTCCTATATTTATAAGCTTCTTTCCTTAGTTTAAAATCCTCGAATTAAGAGCTATTTTACCTGCTTTTTAAGCCTAGAAACCCGGTTTCATAATATAGACTTTCTTATCTTTATTTTCCTTAATTTAGAATAAGTAATATATTCTATTTTCTGAGCTTTTTTAAGCTATTCGAAAATAAATATTACCTTATTTCCTGAAAGAATGGATATAAATATCTAATAAGTCTTATATTAGATAAAATAGTATTAAAAGTCCGGATCCGGTCTCTTTTAGAATATAGGTACTAATTAACTTTAAGACTAATTATTTAAATATATAATTCGGTAATTATCTTATTATTCTTTTAATAAATATCTCGGAGTTCTTTAAAGGCATTTTACTAACGGATTTAAGATATTTGAAATATATTAGTTAAGTAGGCCTTAAATTACTTCTAATAGATCTTATATAATAATAGGCTTTACTTTATTATAGCTTTTTAAATATTATAAGATTCGTTTCTAAAGGCACTTATAATAAAGTTAATTCTAGAAAAGTATTTATTATAAGTTTAAGATTAGGTTTTAAAAACTATTTCCTAAAAAAAAAATACAAATATTTTTTATTTCTTAAAGAACTTTCTATAATATAAATCAGGTATCTGGACTTTAAAAGCTTCTCTTAATTTAAATATATCTTTAGGATATTATATAATGGCTTCTAATAAATAATATCGAGATTATTCTTAAGACTTATTATATTAGAAAAGAAAATAGGTTCTAATTCTATTTTAAAGAGTTCTTTAATAGAAATTACTAAGAAAAATAAAGTAAATTTATAAATAGAGTTTTTATAAGATATAATAAACTATAAAATATCTCGAAGAATATCTTTATATTATTCTAATTATAGGATATATTAATTAATTATATTTACTAATTCTTGCTTTTATTAGAGTACTTTAATTTTAATATATAAGTTCTATTCTATAGCTTAAGTAATAGTAATTTAAGTATTAATCTTAGTATCTTGATTATTACCGGAATTATTTCTATTATTATTACTAGCTCTCGGAGATTTCTAAAGAGCCCTATTAAAAGTATTAAATAAGTCTTTACTATTATTCGTATTAGAATTAATTTAATTAATTTTCTTTATAGGAATAGCTTTAGTAAAGAGTTATATATTTTATAGATTTCGAGATATAATTACTTATTAAATTATCTTTTTTAAGGATAGAGAAATTAGCTTATAAGATATTTATTAGTAAGTAATAAGATAATAGAATAAATTAGTAAATTATAAAATTATAATATTAAATTTAATATAAAACTAATCTTTATTTCTCCTATAAAGTTTAGGGAAGCCTCTTCTAAATAGAAGGCCCTAATAATATATATATAATTAGTAATTTATGAATCTAATATTTATAATAGTAAAGAGCTATTAATCTTTTTAATTAATACTTATAATATCTGAGATTTATTATATGCCTTTTAGTTATATATAATTCTATATATATTATAGTATTTTACTATAATAATTCTAATTTATATAATCTAATTCTTTAATTATATATATCTTTAGGTAATAAATTCAAGTATAAGCTAGCCGGTATTATTAATTAGAAGCTTACTAGATTCTATTTAGCTTTTTATAAACTAAATCTATAAGATATATACTTAAATAGAACTAATTAAATATATATTATTTTATTTATTATTAAAAGAATATATAAAGAATTTTATATTATAATATTTATTATAAATTATACTTTTATAAGCTATAAAGCTTATTTTTAAGTTTTAATAGAAGTTATTATTAGATAATACTAATATTCCGGCTTATATCTAGAAAAGATTTATAGAAAGCTTAAAATTAGCTTGAGATAATAATTCTTATATTAGTTAAATAAGAAGCCTATAGAATAGGCCCTTTCTTAAATATTTTATTATTATTATTCAGAAATTAGAGTATAATATAATTAAGGAAATAGTTATGAAAAGAAAATTAAAGGCAAACTGAAATTTAATAATAAAAGTATAAGACTATATTAATAGATATATTATATCTATTTCCTAATTATATTATTTTATTATATTAGTTATTTTATCTAATTCATTAATAGCCTTTCTGCCTCTTTACTTTCTTGCCTCAGCTATTATATACTAATAAGGTTTATAATATATAGTTATATGGATTTGTAATACTATCTTTTCTCTAAAGAACTAGAAATTCCTAAGATATATAGGGCTCCTAGTATATATATACTATAGCCAAAGTTCTGCCGGGGAACTTGTTAAAGATTCACTCTTAAGACTTGCCCTCTACTCTATATACCAACAAGAGCTACTTGTCCAGGTCTAACTATCAGTTCTGCTTGTTTGTACCAAATGGCCCTGCTTGGCCTTACTCGAATATCCATTATTATTACTAGACTAGAGATTGCTATTACTTGAATCATTATTATTACTACTGCTTAATGGTTTGATCTTCTCTAATATAGAAGCCCCAATATTAATAAAGCAATAGCTGCTCCTCTAGTTCAAGAATAATTAGCCCCGGTACGGGATTGCTTTTTGAATTTTATTGAATAGTGAACCCGGATAGTCCCTTTACTCCGGCTAGAAAGGGTAGTAAAGATATATTCCTATAAATAGCTTTCGTTCTATATCTGGAGCAGCTTTATATCCTCTTCTTCTGTCTATAGAACCTTGTTCTTCTTTGGCTTTAACAGTGCTTAATATATCTTGGAATATGCAGCAGCATCGTGGTTAATATTTAATGCTTTGGAATTAATTGGTAGATAAAAGTATTCCGAGATTAATGGCAGTTTGAATTCAAGATTGTAAGATCTTATATCGTCTCATCCCCGATCTTGGTATATTTGAGAAGCCTTGGAAGGGCCATTCCTGATACTCAGCAAATGGTACCATTCCTATAGCGGGAGGGGGACTCGGAGAAGGTTGTGAGGCATGCCACTGCTCATCATTGACGAAAGTCGACGGCCATTCATGATCATCTTGAGACTGCGCGTATCTCAGGCCCAGAGCGGAGTAGCCTCACCCCCACAGATGGACAGGAAGCAGCTCGACCCCTTTGCTAGCCGAGAAACTGACCGAGTATCTTCAGCCGGTGATTGGGAATCGCAGCCTCATACTCCGCCACCGGCGATGCGGCTCAAGGCGCGGCTTCAAAAGGCTACAATGCCGCAGTCGCGCTCTATCTCCTCGTTTGGGGATTCTGGCTCTTCACAACTTAGATTTTCACACTCAAGGCGAACATGATTTTCGCGGCAATTTTCTTCTTTGCGTTTCTCAGCAGCTTTATCTTTTCAGGCGCGTATTGGAAGGTTAGCACAGGGGATTACGATATGGCGATGAAATTACAGAAGGTAAATAACCCATCTCCCAACATCTCCCTTCCAGGCTTCGGAGAGCTCGAGCTGACGAATCCAGACTGGTGGCGCAACATTCTTCATTCTCGCGATTCTAGGATGGTATATTACAGTCGTGATGATGGCAGCGGAGATGCGAATGACGATCAGCCTTCCAGTCGGAGATCTCTCGCATTTGTGGCCCATGCACCCGGGGGACCTGGCGGATATGTATGGAGCAGGGCGTGGTGAAGGCGGACTGAGATTGTTGACATGATGTGGGGCTTTTTTGGCTACATTTGACAAAACGTGTGAGAATGTGGGCCCAGACTCGTATTTTGGTTCTGCGATGCGATTGGTCCTGTCTGCAGAGTACCTCGAAGGGAATATCAAATTCGTGATCATCTTCGTACATGCTTGTACAATTCAATGGTTTGGTGAGATTTTCTCCTGCCTTGTGTCTCTTATTGGTCTGTTCTCGAATTGGAAAACCCTTTCTCACTCTCCAAGCCTGGCAAATGCTAGGGACGGTGAAGATCCTCAGGTATAATAGGCAGAAGTGAACCAAGTACCAGGTTGACGAATTACCAGGTGTAATTCACGTTACATAGGAACAGAGGAGATTTCTAGAATTGTAATTATTTCTAGAAGAGAAGCGTGTAGCTCGTAGAAGCTTGGGAGCGAGGCTAAATACTCCTTAGCGCCATAATTAAGCGAAACGTGTGCCTAAGGCTGAAGCGAATTTTCCCCCTCACAACGGCGACTGTCAGGGAGGGACTAAAACACGTGACCGACAGGTACCTCTCGTTCCATTTCCAGCCCTTGAGCCTTTTCCATGCACATGACTGCTGGTGTTTGGTGCTACCAAAGAGAAATTTCGAGTTCAAGAAGGCTGGTTGGTGATTGGTGCGATAAGGTGGTCTTGCCTCACGCTGCAGCCTCACTCTTGATCTCGCAACCAGGCTGCCCGTCTCGAAGATAAAGCCTGGGCGAACCCGCAAGGTCAAATTTCAGAAACACCTGTACCCCATCCTCCATTCGGATCACTCCCATCATGATCCGTAGGCTCTCCAGACCAAAAACTTTCACTTCTGACATTCCGAAATATGTCGATCGGGATGATTTGACAGTCTTTCTCAGCCGTCATTGCCAATTCGCATATCTTGCGAAAGATGGCGTCACTTGGATTTTCCAGTACACTCTCGAGGTAAGTTCATATCTTGCTAGTGATTACTGCCTGTGTTGGCTAAAAATAGAAGACCAGTATTGAAGGAACTCACAGAGTTGTAGCTCCAAGGAAAATCACCGACGTATGTCTTGCAGTAATGGATTCATCGTACACTAATAACGAAATGTAGGAGGAAATACGATACCTACAGGAGTTGTCTGCTAGCAGGCGCGCACCGAGCAGTAACAGCGTCTTCGTGTATTGAATGACCTTTTGTGTTACTCAAAAGTCGGACATCGGGCACTGCGCCTCCACATGGACAATACCCAACGCCGCCTTTAGCCTCAAGAAGCCTATGAGAACGCCTTCCGGCCGTCACATTGCCATTTAGGAAGCACATCTCCCGGAGAGTACCGTAGACCTTTCAATGAAATTGCGAAGGCGTTGAGGCCAAGAAATCCTTCTAATCTAATGTTTTCTGAGTTTTTCGAGGCATTGAGCAATGGACGCGGCTGCAGTGTGGCCAGCGACATCGAGGCACGGCGCGAACCACTTCTTTGAAAATGTATTAGGAAACAGGGAAATTTATGAAGAAAACGCGAAATTTATGTTCACCAATGATGGCCTCATTGAACTTGAAGTATGCGACTTAGATGGATCAGGTATACTTGATGTTCTCCGAACTAGTGGGATCAACTTCCTGACAACACTGAGCAGGATGCAAGGCCAAGAAGCTTTGCAACCAAAAGGAACTGCAAATGTACTTGTATGTAATGTTGGAACTTATGGTGCGATGAGTTTGGGCGTTAGTTTCAAAACTAACCAATTTCCAAGGGATGGAATAGAGAACATTGGGCTTAGAAGTAATTATCCTTTGAAGTCTATGGCTAGGACATTGTAAGCTGCCTTCTTCCTAATTTCTGGCTCCGGGCTGATTTGGATCCTCGTACAGCTTCGTTCGCCAAAAGCATTCTAGGGCAGAGATGAAGCTGTCAAAAGAATCCATGTCTTCAATCCTCGCCCAGCTTCAAGCGTTTCCATCCTTTGTGAACATCCTTTCCTCGTTTAGACTTCAAACTCGAGAATCCACAACGGCTATAATAGGCTCTGGTGCTTTCTATGGTCTTACCAACGCCGATAACGCGGGTGAGTTTAGAACGAATAACTCACTCTCCAACGCCTTTCCTCCAAGTCTTCTAATTTTCCTGTAGCATACGAAACAGCGTACCTGCTAAAATATGTCGAGCACAACGGAAGAATTGGAGATTGCTGGTCGATTAGACAAATGGCTTTCTATCAGCACTTTGACACGCGCAACAACGTATCACAGAGTCTCCTCATTCAGACCTCCGACCAAGTTCAAAAGCGAATCTTCCAGCTTGTTCAGGATGGGCACATGGTCGATTTTCCAAACCATTGGACATCATTTCATGAAGTTTATCTAGGAACTTTGAGCCATAATTGGGGAGAATACATTGAGTGGGTTGACACTCAACTCTCGAAAGTAGTGAGTAATTTCCCGAATGCACTAGCACTGATGAAGAGACTAAGTTGAATGATACCCAGGATTTCGACTACTTCTTTACCAAAGTAGATGCTGCGAGTCCAACTAGAATACACTTCCACAATTTACAACTTCTAAACAAAGGAATTGATATTGCAACCAAGATGTCGCATGCTCTACAATCGAATATCGACATTCTCAATTTACTTTTCGAAGAAGCGATTCGCAGGTCCACAATCGAAGGAGAAAGTTCGGCGAAGCGGTACCAACAGTTCCAAGAAGCTGTCCGAGTGTGCATCACAGAGCAAACATTTTTCAAGAAGCATGTTGATCTTCTTCATACTTTTGCTGATCGGCGTAGTCTTCAGGTTAGTCCACTTTCTTTTGCTCCCATCTATCTTTGAGCCGGAATTGACCTGTCTTGCAAAGCTGAGAGATGCAATTGCACTTCAAGACAGCAACATCATGATGGGGATGAACCAAGTTACAACCCAAGAGACAAGAACCATGCGGACCATCACCTTGATTGCCATGATATATCTACCTGCTTCTTTCACAGCAGTGAGTTTCCTTCTCAATTCTCAACCACAAAAGTTTGTGTATTAATTGAGATTAGACCTTTATGGGGACGGGTTTCGTACATGTGGAGAGTCTTGCTGGAGTCATGCGTGTTAGTGTGAGCAAGGATATATACTTCTATCTTGCTATAACCATTCCATTAATGGCGGTCACGTTCTTAGTATGGGGGTTTTGGGAATGTAAAATGAGAAGGAAGACCAGAAATGGCTATATTGGGCATGAAGATGTGGAAAAGTTGAAAATCAAGTAGCCGAGTGGCTCATAGCAATATGATTCTTCGTAAGATTGCTCTCCCGGAATAGTATTGAGGTCTTGAGCCGCCTTGAAATGACTCTAAAGTCATGTTCATTCTTCTATAATCCGAATCTCGAAGTCCTTCATTCCATATGGTGATGACGTTAAAAAAGCTCCTAGCGACAAACGGCCTTAACGTCCCATAAGATGGTTCCACACATCTACTATAGCGGAATTCGGATAATGCTCATTCTTAGATCCTCCGAAGAACCAGTAGATATAGCTCGGTTTCTAGAAAGCTTTCAGTGACGTGGTCTCTTTTACGAGTTAGGAGTGTAAAACTCTTACCGGATCCACATATTCAATTTCAACCCATCTTCGCACACCATACTGTGGGTCATGGACCTGTTCCTCGTGTAGTAGAGGACAGCCTCTAGCAGCGCGGACTATCGATCTTTTTGGTTGTATGATATTGCGAGTAGCATCGAAGGTTTGTCGATACCCAAAAGCGAGGTAATAGTAGACCATTGCAGCGGTGAATATACAACCAACAATAAGAATATAATACCACCCTTTGACTTCTAATTTCGTCCCATTCGCGTCTTGGTAAGGCCCGAGGAGAGGCACAGTGACGATGTATACGTTGAAGCCAAAATAAACAAAACTGAAGAAACCCTTGGCAAAGGGTGATCGCACAAGGACTGATACTACAGGTTGGCTCCAAGTCCGTATCGTCGGGAGGGGAATTTGTCGCGCTTTCATGAAGAGAAAATCTTTACTAGGGAAAAGAAATGGGAAACCAATACTAATGAAGACTATTCGATTTGTTAGTCCGCTTTATTCACGAACGACAAGAGGTCGAATTTAAAACGTACTTCCTACCCAGCCTGAAGCATACGCTTGGAGGCCACCTGGGAACCCGATGGCTTCATCAATATTATACATCCCGGAAGTTGCTGAAATCAACACCACGGAGAAGATCCAGTGAAGTATCAAGCCTCCTTTTGGCGTCGGTCGTTCTGAACGGCCTTCCGAACGTTGGCGAGGAGGTGGCACGGGTGAAGTCGACTTCCACCACTTTGACCAAGGAATGATATTACTCATGCCAATAACTTGTTTCACTGCTTCCTGGTAAGCTTGGATGCCAAAGGAGATGGAGCCAGGGCCTACCTCGAGCACAAGTATAAATTACTGATAACAGGCTCCCGCTCGCCGAGATTGAGATAAGGATAGACCAAGTTAGCTTCGCTTTAAGGCCTCCCCCGAAGAACTGGAAGATGATCAGAACCCTCTTTTACACGTAGTTGGGTTCCTTACCAAGGGGACATATGCTGTGATTGCATTTGGCCCAATCAAGGCCGAGTATGGCACCGCCAAAAGCTAGATGCCGAATTAGTGAACAGATCAATACATCGCCCCTAGCAGAGAAACATACAAATACGAGGTTCACGAGTATGTATAAAATCCCGACGATCAGAATTGCTGAGACAAAACCATCCCTTAGTATGCGGTGGTTGGCAATCTCCCCAGTAACCTATTGTAGGGGGTTAGGCTGGTTCAAGATATCCACAGGGGAGCGGTAACCACTTACGAAGGTTGCATTTTCCCACCCGGTATAACTGAATACAATAAGTAGAAAAGCAGTGGCGGAGCTTGAGCGATCTGGATTCGAAGGTTTCGTCCAATCGGCAGTGTAGTGATGGCTTGCTCTGACGAGTCCGGCGAAAAACACGATCACTAGCAAGCACACTTTGAAGAATGCAAGGACTTGATTGAGTTTGCGCCCAGCATGCCCGGAGAAATAATGCAATAGACAAAAGAAGGAAAATGACACAATAGCTATGAATCGAAGCAATCTGCCATCTGGCTCGAACGTTGGATTCCGGAAATTTGCACTAATAAGTACTTGGTTCGCCAACTGCATGCTATTTGTCGCCGTGTTGTACATGAGGACGAAGTAGAAGGTGTATACTGTGTATGCGAGAAGCCTCGGTGTTGGCAGTGTTTCATCCAGCTGTTCATTCAAACTTAGTTGAGAATTGTGGGTGCCAAGTGCATAATGCTTACATAAATTAACTCTCCTCCTGTGTGAGGCAGTTTTCGAGAAAATTCAAGATAGAGCAATGTGCTAATTTATTCATGAGAATCTAGCGTTGGGTATCTTTACGACTGAATGGTGCGTACCTAACAAGGGTGTAAAGAAACCCAAGGACCCATAAGAACAATGCCTCGACTTTGCTTTGGGTAAATAGAAGGACTGCTGGTGGCTGGATAAATATTCCAGTTCCAATCATTTTATTGACGATAAATGCGCAGACATCTCGAGAATTAAGAGGCAGAGTCGGGTCATGTCTATGTTCGACTGGTTCGATGTGAGGTACAACGTCCGAAATAAGGCCATTTCCCTGCCCGGGGAGATTTGGAGCTGTAGCCACCTGCGAAACATCCCCCGGTGATTGGATGTTGTGTTCACTTCCGTGAATATGCTCCAAGGGAATCTCTTCACTCGTGATTGTGCCATCAGGCTGAACAGTTGCTCCTTGAGGAGCGAATGTAGGTTCGAATGTCCACCTTCCCATGTCATCAGCCCGATCGTTAGCCATTGCGGCAGCAAAATCAATCGATTTGATTTTGAAAATTCCGTAGAAGTAGAAAAAATCGAGAGTGGAAAGCATAAACGTACGGATCAGGATCTCGTCGCACGGGTAGAGACACACATCTTTCAATAAGCGTCGTGAGACATCATGAAAGTCAATTTGGAAAAGTTCTGTTTTGTGTAACACAAAGGAATTTATGTGTGGCTCGGTGTGCACATGTGGAAATTGAAATATTGAAAATATGCCGCACAAGGCGCTGGGAGGTACGGGTTGAAAGGCCATTGGTGTTGTCCAGCGGCTGCTTCAGGGAGAGCCTCAACTCAGGCTCTAAGCGGCGAGGCAGCAGCTGACGAGAGACATGTAGATATGAAACCTGACAAATAGTGTGCATCCTCGTCAAAAAGCAAGCGTAGACGCGCCCGACATTGGTCCAGGCTCTTGCGTAACCTCAGATATCGCAGCCTGAACATTCTTTCAGCCAGCACCACTTTTAGGGCAGCCGAGAGAACAATCAACTTTCGTACAATTCGAATTTGGAACCTAGGTTTCTGGTACGTCTTACAAGGCAGAGAAGCGACTGAGAATCCGGGGGAAAATGGACGAGAACTATCAGAGTTATCTTGCGGCCCAATTCAGCGCCTTGCCCGGTCCGTCAGAACCATCTCCGCGAATTAAAGGAGGCCTAGGCACCGAGGCAGATATGGACTTCTTCCTTGAAGCGTTAAGCCGACTTCCTGGGGACAGATGCCAGTCTCTCCGACTCCACGACGTGCTTCGCAAGGAGGCGGTCAAGAAAAATGGAAAAAAGAAGGACGAAACTACCGAGAACCTGCTCTTTCCCCCGAGCGTCATAGACAGGATACTTGTCGAAAAGGAGATCAGGAGCATAGTGACATGTGTCTGTATCGTCTGTCGATCAGTGAAGGGCAGAGAGCGCTTAGCCGATGATGTTTTAGTTGAAGCCGTGACAGCTGGGGATGGACATGAGCAGCGAAAATTATTCGCGCTTCTGGTCTTTATGGGGGCAGGATTTGCAGCACGGCACATTTGCTCCTTTCCACCGCGAGGATGGGATCTAAGTAGTCGAGAGTCGTCTATACAATCCCAGTTATTCGAACCTTTGGACCGAGTCTCGACAGATATTTTTTCAAGCCCAGAAAAGGCAACTCGAATTTTCACATCGGTGTTCAAGCAGACATGGCAAGTTTTCGATGCGCCAACAATGCAAATTGGAAGTCTCATAACAAACTTGGATGGCGCCAATCTTCCGTTTATCAATGAAGCGCCATTGAAAGGTGACAAGGGCGCATTCGGCTCTCTATATTCCTTTGAGATCCACCCCGAATTCAGTGGATATAACGTCCCAGTGAGTGATACTTTTGGTCTTAGTACTTCGGCATATGTTAAATGTCCCAGGCACTTGCGGTTCGCAAAGAATTACCAGATGTTGAATCAACCTTGGAAGAAAGACGCATCTTGGAATTCCTAGCCAAATCTGGCAAACCAAATTTCGTACAACTTTTGTTCTGGTATCGCAGCGCTGAAAAGATCAATTACGTTTTCCCTTTGTATCCGGGGAGCTTGCAGCAAGCCATGGAAGGTCAATTCCACTCCCAAATCAACCCCTCAAGACCCAGCAAATACAGATCAGTATTACAACATTGGATGTGGCAAGGCATCGTTGATGTGATTGCAGCTTTGAAAGTTTTCCATTTTCCGGATGAAGCGATCCTGCGAAAACAGTTGATTGCAGCACATTTTGACTTGAAGCCTGCAAATATTCTGGTAACTGGCAATGGTACGCTTCTCTTGACCGATTTCGGCCAAGCTCGGATGAAAACGTTCAACCCGCTGGGGGGTTCATCGTTAACGGCACAGATTGGGGATGCCAATTACCAACCACCACCCATGGTACTTCCACAGAACCCTATTCCACATCCTACAGGCTTAATGACCAGCCATACAAAAGATGTTGATCTGAGGTGGAGCCGTGCATATGATGTATGGTCTATGGCATGCATCATGACTGAGGTTATTGAATATATAATCAACGGATCGGCAGGGTTCCAGTCATTTAGACAACAACGTATCAACGAAGATCAATCTAGTGCCGCCTTTTGGAAGCGAAGGTCAGTCGACGGACACTACGAACTTAAAGTCACTGTTCAGGAAACCTTGAACAAATTTAAGAGAACACAGGACAGATACCTGATTATGGTCACCGACCTGATAGAGAGCATGTTCTGCATAAATCCTTTACAACGACCTCCAATCGCGGATTGTCTGGCTATTATTTCTGAAGACATTCCCACAGACGAATGGCCTTTGAAGGATGAAGACGAGGTATCAATATGTGGACTTGGCACGAATCCACAACTAAGAAACATGTAAGTCGCCGTTATATCGAACGTAATACTCAACAATTGGAAATGATTATTGTCTAACTTCCCCACTGGCACACACAACTTGTCCGCACATCGGAAAAACTTCCTAGAAGATGCAAGTTGTATGTCTTGTACTGCACAAATTCCAGCCGCTTTCGTGTCGTAGCGGAATTTGACAAGGAAATTCTGGATGGAGAGAGCCAGTCCAAAATATCTTGCATTCTCTCGGATTCCGGTTTGTTTCTCTCGCATACATGATGTAAACGCAACCGTAAATGACTGATTTGAGCAGCTCGACGAGAAGAGGAGGAGTTCAGACTACTTAGTCTGTTCAAACGGAGTCATAGGCCAGCTACTGGTATACCACACGAATGCTCCTTCGGAATTATCCACCCCAATCTGTCTTTTGTCTTTGATGGACCACAACGTGGGCCACAGGGTAAACTCTTTTCGTGATCTCATCTCCATACTTCAGCTTTTGACGTGCAATAGAGTACTATCATTTCTTTACTGCTATGACAAGGCAAATAAGCCTGCGCCCACAGGTCTAGTATGTAGTTAGATTGCTTGTAGCATTCGAGACAGCTAACACACCTTCAGCATGCCTATTTCGAAATGTACAGTCAAACCAGCAACCCTATTTAGTGAGAAAGTGCAATATTATGAGGGGCATGTTCAGATATGGAGAGAATTGACGGAGGAGGAGTTTCTGGTAAGTTTTAATTCCTAAAATGAGAAAGTCAATGGATTAGTGATACATAATCACCTCATAGAAAGATTTCACGTATAATCCACCAGAAAGGCCAAGAAAAAAGTCAGAGGTTTTGGAAACCAACCCAACCTTCTCGGGACAGAGAAGCCCAACTCAAGACTCTATCTTTTCACAGCACTCTAGACATATGTCGATAAGTTCCGGATCGTCCGGTCCAGTGGATAAGACTCAAACTCCGAATGGGGTGAAAACACGGCGACTTGTTGTCTTTCTGTATGGCGCGGGGCATCCAAGCACATCCACCAGCCATACTCGAGTGTTAACAATCAATCGTGAGAGCTATTCGACGGTTGTCAGTAATTACCCCGTTGCTAATCTACGCCTGACAGTGACAAACCTGTACAATGCCGCCCAGATACGGAGAACCTTTAAAGGTTATACATCGGACTGTCACGTTACTTTCAAAGCTGTGGGAGGTAACTTCTTCATCGGAAACTTCGCCTCTGACAAGCGAGATCCTGGCATACCTCTCGATCCAGAAGTACTGTCACATCGTGAAAATTATCATGTCGACTGGGTAGAGTTGGAATTCAAGGATCTCGGAGGTACGTTTTTACCCACATTGAAATGATGAAAAGAAAATACTGTCTTGCTTCAGAACTAAACTCCATCTGCTTTAGCAATAGAAGGTTTTACGAATGTGTGGAATATCTTGTTTCCTTCTTAATTAAGAGCTACCTCTTTCTAATCCGAGTATGGGTAATATGGGGTGCTCAGAGCGCTATTTTAAATCCTGTTACTGCTATTGGCCAATAAATGTCCAGTCCCCCCTTGTCGTGGCAAGTGAGGCGTGGCTTGGTGTGGCTAGTAGGAACCCCCAAAAAAGAGAGAAGGGGGTCCGGGGTCTCCCCCAGGAATTCAAGTAAAAGAGAGAGATAAAAAATCTAGTAATAAGAAGAAGAGAAGGGAGGGACGTTTCAGGGGGTTTCCCCCTGGGATTAAATAAAGAAAGAGCAATCACGTGACGTGGTTCTTGCATACAAGTCGCGTCAAGAGGGGCCTTTGGGTCTCTCGTAATGGAGGGATCAAAATTTCATGAAGTCCCTGTTTAGATGAGAGAGGGGGGGAGGGTTTGCTGCACTCCTGGGTTTATCTTGTTTCATTCAAGTGACGTGGTTTCTTGGAACTCCTATAACCCGCCCAATGTGGCCAAACCAAAGAGGGAAGCGAAAGACACGGCAGCGCGTGACGTGCTGGGAGAGCTCATGCCCATAGTAAGTTTGAGAACTGTGCATCCTGTTGAGGCAAGCGGGCCGTACTGGTCCGTCCAATCCCGTACCCGAGTCTTGATCAATCTGAGACTGTGATTGTTAGCAGAGTGATAATGGCAGAAACTTATCTAATACGGCATGACACGGAGCCGATACAGCCAACCACGACAAAGAACGGCACCAGCGAATTGATAACCTTAAATCAACGAGCACTTTTACTAGCCATGATTTTAGTGTTGGTTACTGATCTGGAACGGCACCCGCTGTTCTGAGCACACTGCAGCCTCAATATCAACGACCCCCGTGCCGAATACTGCAGCGTGGGATACTTTGCATATCCACGCCCATTAATTTACAATAGGAAGCCTCATCATAGATCCATATTTCTGCATGTTACTAAGCAGGAACGGGACCTTGCAGATACCTTTTTTGATTATTGATATACGCCGAGCTATAGATATAAAAGTCGATATCTCTCCCTTCACATTCACTATCAAGAATTGCATTCACATTTCCAATCTCTCGTCATCAAATCTCTTGCACGAAGTATTCCATCCTTCAAACTGCCCATTTCTCCTCAACAATACACAGAAACCCTACCACTAACCAAAACTTCACAATGGCAATATTAGCAAGTATTGTTCCCAAGAAAATCGCCCTCATTATCGGCAGTATACGCCCCATTCGCGCCGGTCCCGAAGTCGTCAACTTCGTGCACAAAATCCTCCTCGCCTCCCCCACCACCCCCGCACCAGAAATCTCGATCTCGATATCGCGTCCTTCAACCTGTCCGTCTTCAACGAGAAGACTATGCCCGCTATGATCCCTGCATATGGGCAGTTCGAGTACGAGCATTCCAAGAAACGGTTATCAGCAATCGCCGCTTACGATGGCTACATCTTCGTCTCGCCCGATATAATTATGGACTGCCCGGGGGAGTGAAGAATGCGATTAATTATCTGTATTATGAGTGGATTGGGAAACCGGTAATGGTGGTGACGTATGGGATTCAGGGGGGCAGTAGCAGTAGTGAGTAGCTGAAGAAGACGTTGGGTGGTATGAAGCTCAGGGTTGTGGAGACGAGGCCGCAGTTGACGTATGCGGGGCCCGGCATGGATGAGGTGTTTGCGGCGACCGGGACGGGCAAGTTGGGGCCGAATACGGTAGAGGCGTGGGGGAAGGAGGGGAAGGAGAGTCTTTTGAAGGGGTTTGGGGAGTTGGTTGAGTTGTTGGAGACGCCTGTGCCGGAGCCAGCGGAGCCAGAGAAGAGCGCGTGAAGATAGGTAGGCCTTTGTGATTCCATTGGGTGCTTTCGATATCAGACCGCATTCGAGCAACTCCATAGAATTGAATAGAGAGTACATCTGCATTAGCCTCTCGTTTTGGTTATTTGGTATGCTGTCCCCAAGTCTCATTTGGTGGAGCCTGTTTGCTGTGTACTGTTTGATTGCGTCTATTTAGACCTCGTTCGGAAATTCTTTTTTGTTGCCTCAGCTCCAAGTGAAGGATCGATTTCCAAGTTGTTCTCTTCTTCCAGAATCTGCGGACCATGAGAGATGGGCCAGTGGAGGTATTGTGGGCATTTGCATTGACGTCTCCAAGTCCCTAACCTCTCTCAAATCTCTCCTTGAAGTATTTCCCCCTTCAAGTCGTCAGAAAATACGCAAAAGCAATGGTTTGGGTAAAAGTTGACTTCATACCTGGACGCAGACTAGATTTTATTGCCTTGAAACTCAAATACCCTATCCAAGTGCTAAGTATAGCCACAAAGACTCCTGCGAAACCAAAGACTATGGAAATGGTAGTGTCCAGAGAGGTCATATTCACTATCTTTTCTCCTGAAAGGTGCGAATTTGGTGGAACTTCCTCACTCCCTGGAAGATGACGGTCAGGTTGGATACAACAGATTCCGGAGCCCATGCACTGTCACCAATTTGTAACGTGGCTTAAAGGAACTCTAACAACGAGGCGTATCTGCATCCCGGCTTCAATAAGTCAACTCTCTCGCTTAACAAAAGTTCTGCTTCTACAACCAATTACAAAATCCTAACTAACTTTGATTCTGGCACAAGAAAAAAATACAAGGCTGTGCGGGTAAGCCTCCCCGCCTGCATGGTCTCGGATGATTGGCAGTCCTCTCGCTTAGCAAAAGTTCCAACCTCTAAAGCGAATGATAATTCCTCTCCGGCGCCACATTCCAGGAAACCGCTACGCATGCGGTGGATTGTCCGTAGACGAGCTTACACTACTGCACGCCACGCCACCACGCAAGGGTTCAAGCCCGGTGACAAGGCTTCATAGGCAAGTTTTGAAAGAACTCGAGCATAAGAAGTCGTGCCCCGTCACCAGTGCTGAGTTCACAACCACCCTCGCGTTATACTAAGGTCACACAGCCATCGAAGAGAAGCCAAAGCCAACAAAGTTGTGCGAAAAATAAAAACTACAAGTCATGGAGCGATGTCAGAATATACCTTATTCGTAGTCAATGTCAGAGCCCCAAGTCACGATATCATTACTCTCCGCTCCGTAGCTGTGACTAATGCTCATATTCGGAACCTTCGCCCATCCCCTCCCAAACTCGTCTAGGGCCCGCCTACCGGAAAGCCCCTCGGCCAGTTCCCTGGCAAAGAGAACTGAGCAATTCAGGGCTAAGGTTGAGCTTGAGGTTGGGGTTGAGCTTGACAAAGTCATCGGACCTTTTGGCGAGGCTGAGTTTCGTTTTGAAAAGATTGGATGGAGACCTCCCGTGCTAAATGGATGTATTTGAACAGAATCTCTCTACAAATCAGCATCACACTTGCACGATACATGGTTCCCAAAGGAAGGACGTGACTTCTATTATCCCTTTTAATAATTAACACCTCTCTTAGCACTCCCAACAACAAAACCAATCCTCTACATTCTCATCACGGCTATACCCATTGCCTTGCTTCTCTTGTATCTTCAACCATTTTTCATAACTGGGATACTTTGCGTGCTCTACACCGTCAAAACACATGGCGCAGATAAAATGATTGCATCCGGGACAGGACTTCCACGGGTGTGATGTCCGGCATTTGCAGCAACGGGCATGGGTGCGGCGCCATATTGGCTGACTGTTCCATTGTTAGGAGAGATTCGGGTCGGGAAAGGGGAATTTACTCTTTGAAGATATTCCGAAACGTCTGATACTCATCTTATGTCATGCTGGGCGGTAGGTGCTAGTGACTGATCTGATCACTTCGGTCCTCAACATTAACAATCATGAACACAATTCCAAGCAACCGTAGGTACACACCTGATATGCCTCCCATCGTACCCAATCTTCTTAAGCTTAGTCTCCCACTCCAGATACCCAGGCCCGGGAACCGTTCTGGAATAGCAGTTCGGGCATGCTTCGTGTTTGCACACTGTATACTCTAAGTCGGCATATGCATCACCACTCGAGTTTTTTATTTTATTTTTGAAATTCCAGTTGCAGCAGGTTGCTAACGGAAGTTGACCACTTTCATAGCTGGATTAATTGCTTGCTTGGGTGGAACAACGCTGGAAAGGAAAGGGGAGCAATGCAAGAGAGTGAGGCAACATACCTGGGCAGCATTTGCTTGCGGATGAATTTGAGCTTTATGTCTAGGAGGGGCCGGGTTTCAAAATTTGGTTGTGAGGAGGTTCCGAGGAGGGTTCTAGATTTGGGGAAAGTTAGATTTGGGAGCATAAAGGGCAGAAGTTGCGCCGTTCTGTGTATTGGGGAAGAAACTGACACGAGCCGCGATATTTTGCATGCGTAATCATCCGTCTGCGGGAGTTGCATTGGGTGGGGGCAGGTGTACTGCTCATGATGAGACGCTATATTGAGGTTCTTGCCTGTCGCCATTATTCCCCAGAAAGCCAGGAGAGACTTTTGCGCGGACCGAGTTCGAGAAGATGTACTACTAGAATGCAATCTTTCACCACGCGGGAGATAAGTTCAATTTAAGAAGTTTCTTACCACCGGCGTTGACTTTTAATCTTGTGGCTCATGCCAAGACAGTTGGTTGGAAACATTACCTTCTTAATCGAATTTTTCTTCATGGGAGTCTGCCTTTTTGTGAAATGAGGGCTGGAGTGGCTTCGTTAAAAAGCAATCCGATTTTTCAAGCCCTAATATTTTACAGCTCGGTTGCCCCAACTCCTGCCTTTCACCAGAAATGAGAGCCTTTCAGTCCCCTTTTTCGTGCCCCCTCTTATGGATATTCAATGTTAGATTTGACAAATGTGGCACCTTAGGACTCTCAATGACGTACAAAAAAAAAGAAAGGCTTTTAGTGATGATCGGATCAACTGCACAATGACGAGTGATTGTTACTTATATGAACTTCTTGCTTTAACAGTTCGGAATTTCTTGAGGTCCCGCGGAATCGATATTCTCAGGCGCGACGCCCAGTGGATTCAATTAGGAGGAGATTGATTAGTGGCTGCAAATTGGAGCTGCAAGCCTCAAATTATGTTCTAAGAGATATGTGTGGAGGTAAGACGTCGGCTTCAGGACTCCGCTAGATTAACATTGGAAAGGAGGTGGAACCGCTGAACACTTCATTAGTACTGCACAACTTTTGAATAGGAGGGTTTGAACAACTTACATCCACTATTATAAGCCGCAATAATCAACTTAATAATCACATAAGTGCCCGCAACACAAATGAAGCCTCCCGCCTCAAAAGTCAATACGCTCAACACCCACCTTACCGGCCTACGCTTCCACGCTCTTACGCCTTTACTACTCAAATAATAAGAATCATGTAGCCAAAACGCGCCCGCAATACCATATATATACCAACTCGCAAATAACGACGCCGCAATGCTAATTAAGTACGAGAAGATCTGGAAGGGAGGGGAAGGGAGGAGAAGAAACAAATATATTAGAGCCTTCCAAGCCACAAATACCTTGCCTTTCATTTATCCCGTATCTACTAGTTATTATACACAATCCGTAATATTACCAGAATTAATACCAAGCTCCTTTATCCTCCTCTTAGTCCAAGCTCCCAGGTCACTAAAATATCCCTCTGGATTATTACCTTACTAGTCCCGTAATATAAACTAAAGATGGTATATATCTTTCCCTGCCTGGATTACATATTCGTAATTAGATACTTGATTAAAGAGAGCCTATATGGAAAAAAGTAATTACTTCCTTGCTTATTATGGGAGGGAAACTGTAACAAGACAAAAACTCATATAAAATATACCAGAGCGCAAAACGTGACTTGATAGCAAAATAACAAGATTAAAAGCGTAAATAGTAAAGCATAAATAGTATATAGTATATAAAAGCTTAATTAATTAAATATTAAGGAGGGATTATTCTCTAGGACTATAGAAAAACCAGCTTTCTTATATAATTTCCGTAAGTTATATATAAAAGGCCGTGGCCTTTACTATATAACTAAAACCTTAAAACTGCCAAAATAATATAATTTTTAAAGAATATAACTTGCTATACTATATCCGGCTCCCTATTTATTTATACTTATTCCCTAAATACTAGAACTAATAGAAAAATTCTATTTAAAATCCGAAATAATAAAATAATTAGGATTCTTCTTTATTAGCTAATCTAATTTCTCTTTAATATACCTAAAATAAGATCTATTACTTTTAAATAGTCTTATTTCGTATTTCCGAACTTTCTTAAAGGTAATCCGAACCCGCTTAGCTATATTCTTATACTAAATCCGATATAATTCTCTATATTAATTAATATTTGCCTTTAACTATTACTTAATTTCTGCCTTTATTACTAGATATTAAAGCAGCTTATTATAGTGAATTATATTACAAATTATACTAATATATTTTAAATAAATAACTTTTTTAAATTTCATATTATTTATAATATTTTTAAATTAATCTTTAATAAAAGGAGAAAGCTCTAGATAAGAAGCTTTAATAAACTTATAAGAGACTTCATTTTTATATATTCTATTTTTAATAATAATTAGAATTATTAAAATTATAATAAAAGGCCTATTAAATAGTAAATTATTATTAAGTTATCTTTTAGTTTCTATATTATTTGAGAATTATTACTTGCCTATAATTCCAGACTTATAAATTACCTAGCTAAAAGCATTTATTTATCTAGTTAAATAGACTATATTCAGAGTTTTTTCTTCTATTACTTTTAATAGATACTTGCCTATTTCTTTTATTATTTCCGGCTTAAAATTATCGGAAATAGAAAAGTAATTAATATTCTTAAAGAACTTTCTATTAAAGGTAATAGCCTTTTTATAATTTATAAAAAAAATATAGCTAATATTTTAATATTTTTTATTAAGGTAAAATTCGCTATTTAGAGCTTTAATAATAGTCAGATCTTTAGTATTACCTTTATATTAATTATAATTAATATTCCTAGAAATATAATATTTAGCTAGCTAAAAGTAAATAACTAGATAAATAGAATATTTATTTAATACCTTATAAAATCCGAGCTATATTAATAGATCTGCTATTAAGAATTAAGAGGCTAAAATAAAATAGCTATTATTTAGATCTTTATATTTTATTATATTATTTTTTCAAAAATAGAGTTATAGTATTTTTATTTCCTATATTAAAAACTTTCGAATATTAAGCTTTTTAATCTATTTTAGGTAATCTTTCTTATAAATATAACTATTTATATCCAGATTAATAGTATTAGATTCAAGAATAGAAATTATAGTATTAAATTAAAGCTATAGATTTAGATGAAATTAATTAGAAATATAATACTTATATTTATATTTTTTAATTTCCTAATTTTCTAAAAAGAAATCCTATATTTCCTTATTTATTTAAGTAATAGAAATATATTTCTTGCTTTTAATAATTTTATAGATCTTAATAATTAGCTTTAGAGTATTTTTAATAATATAAATATTTCTTATATTAATAGAAAGAATATTAGTAAGCTATTAAATATATATTTTATAGGAAGCTTTAAGGAATTCATTAGTAATTCTATAATATTCTTATTTATAAATAGGTTCTAAAATACTATTATATATCTTTTTAAAAATATATTTGTTTTATTAAATAAGTATTAACTTTTATTTAGCTAGTATTTTATAAGTATATTTATTATTTTTAATTTCCCTGAATTTAATATTTTTAGTTTTCTATTTCTTAGTTTTAGATATAAATATAGGAATTTTTCTAGATAATATCTTTTTTTTAAAAAATAAAGAATTTCTTCTTACTTGCCTCTTTTTCGTTTTTCTCTATTTTACTAGCCTTATATTTAGACTAGTATTCGGATTTTCGCTATTTATTAGAAGTTTTAGGCTTAGCTTATTTTCCTTTCTTACTAGGTTCTTTTTATCTAATTATATTAGTTTTACTAGTTTTATTAGTAGAATTATTACTAGGCTATATTAAATTAGTTCTATTCTTATTAGCTAAATCCAATTAAGTTAAAGCTAAAATTATAATAGAGGCCTATTTTTTAGGCTTATTTTAGAAAGTAGAAAAGGGCTTATTATTATAAATTCCTTTAATTAGAATTCCAGAAGTATTAAAAATATATTATCTAGCTTTGAGATTATTAACTAATAATAATTTAAAATCTAATTCTCTAGATTCCGAAATAGTTTTAATATATTTAAATACTTTAATAATATCTAATTTAGTAAATATATTAGTATTCTAATACTTCTTGTTTTTAATATATACTAAAGTAGCTTTATTAATTAATTAAATAGCTTTATATATTAAAGCTTTTATTTTAAAAAAGAAATACAATTTCTTATAAATATTTTTACTAAGGTTATTATAAATATTATTAATATATTAGCTAAAGGCTTTATTATATTATATAATTCTATTCTGATCTTTGGTTTTAAGACTATTTACTATAGTTTTAATCTTATTAAGTTTCTTTTATTTGCCTTTAGAAGTGCCTTTAATAATATTTTCGAATTCCCTATTATTAGCTTAATAGTTCTTTAGTTCCTCCTTAGTTAATTCTAGTCTAGTTCTGTTTCTAATAAAGGTTTTCTATTTTAAGAGTTTATTATATATATTATTTAGTTTACCTAGAATATTTATATTAAATTTAGTAATTATAGTTATCTTTTCTAGTATTAATAAGCCTTTTATAACTATTTAAGCTTTTTTAATATTCTGAATTTTAATACTATTAATTTATAGGCTTTTAATAATATTATAGTTTATAAGAACTAGCTATTATACTTTATTAGCTTAAGAAATCTATTCTTTAGTTATTTTATTATTCTTAATAGAATTATATAAATATTATTAGTATAATAGTTATAAGTTATAAAATTAAAGGTTTTCGAGATTTATAAGAATTTCTTTTAAATACTTTCTAAAATAAAGAATAAATTAAAACAGACTTGAATTATATAAAAGTATTATATATATTCAGATTTTTCTTTTTTCTTAATAAGAAAATAAAACTAAAATAGTAGTATATATAATAGAAAAAATTAATATAATAATTAGATATATTTAAAGTAATATAGTTATAAATTAGAAATAATTATAGAAAGTAAAATATAGAATTAGATTTCTATTATAGAAAAAAATATAAATATATATATTTAAGGAAATATAATTTAGGAAATAATTAAAATAAAATAAAATAAATAGTAATAATAGAGAAATAAGAAAGTAATATAATAGAAATATAGATATAATAATAGTATTTAAAGTATTAGTATATAAAAAAAAAATTATAATATAAATATATTTTAATTTTTTATTTATTTAGAAACATTTTTATTAATTTAAAGAATAATATAAAAGAAGAGAAATAATATAAGAAATATATAAAAGATAAAATATATAAATATATTAAAAATATTAGAAAAATATAAAGTAAATATT